ACAATTCTCAACAGAACGGGTCGGTCTTCCCGTTTCGTCGTGGTCGCATGGCCACAATCTTTGCAAATTTTCCGAACCGTATATCCCGTTAATCTTTAATACGAGAAATACTTGCATTCCACACACTTCTCAAAGGGTGGATTCGGTGGCTTCCTCGACGAAGATGGCTTTTCCATGTATAAGTACCCGACGATCTCTTCGTCAATGTACTTCCCTCAAGAACGTAATGTTTCATGATCCAGCTGAGGAAAAATGGCAAAACCTATGATGGCTTCTTCTATAACAACCCCCTGCTACATACTTTCCATCAAACATCTTCTGCTCACCGCCTTCCAGGTCCTCATCCATCTTCCCTTCACGAACCACGATGCGAACTCTACTGTTTCTTGTGGTTACATCTTGATCCTCGGAAGGGGTGTTCATAGGAATGGGCACAGGGTCAGACGATCTAGGTGGGCTCCATGGACAGGCACAGAATCCGATGCATTCGCCTTTGTGTAACCCTTACCTGATCTAGACGACCTAGAATTGGATACTACCAAAGCCACGCCTTCAGGTGCCTGGCCTGCCTGTAAGCAAATCTCGTGATCAGTCGAGGAATGCTGATCCAGCAGGCTTGTCACCTTTCCCTTTTGGGCCTGGAAATTTACAATCAGGGTCACCGGCCCAATGGCCATGCCCTCCACACCTGAGGCATTTACTTCTCTTCTTCAACTCTTGCAACTTGGATCGGCGTTATTCCAGTATCAGATATAACCGAACCAACTTTCCTTTCCCTCTTCCTTTCGGCCCTTTTCCTCCTTTTCCTTTAGCCTTACCAAAGGCAGCATTCGCTGCCAGCTGCAGCTGAATGGCTTCTCCGACACTGAGTGGATCATTGCTCTCGGCATCCAACTCTTCCATGGCGTTGAGAGCAGTGGCCTCGCCTTCATTACCTATCTCTTCAAATTCGTCATAATCGGGCATCTCTTCCGGCTCAATCATCGGTGTTCTATCGACACCACCATCCGCTGCATACCCAAAACTTTCTTCGCCTTCTGCTTCTTCATGCGGATTAGGCTCCCCTTCTTCCCATTCAGATACCCTAACCAAGCTAGAAGCGCGGACCTTCGCCAGTAACCACCGCCAGACGAAAATGAAGAGCTGTGAAAAGAAGACTTCCCCTTACCTTTTGTCTGCTAGCCTCCTTTCCCAGTTGAAGACGGTCCCAGCACTCGTCCTTCTCGAAGGTGTACTCCGCCGTAATTCCTGATCAGGGCCTCTTCAATCTTGCTCAGCTCTCTTCCGCCTTCCGAACAGACTCTAATCACAAGGATCTTTTAATGTGAGATGTTCGCCAACTCAAGCATCAACTCTGAGCGCATCTCAGACAACAACAGCGCTGAATCCATCTCCACAAGGATCCTCCACCACCTGCGCCTTCGGAAAATGTACGAGATCATGCTCTCCCCCTCTCTGCCGGGAAAGTGCTCCTTGCGGTTGCTAACCAACACGAAACAGCTCACGAGCTTCCTCAGTAGCTCTTGGGAAAACCATGTCTCTCAGCTTAATCAGCTTCTCAATACCTTGCGGTTCACTTAAGGCATCAAGTCCAAGATCACGGGCCACCAAGAATGCATCGCCCCGGAGTCCTTCGACAATCCGGTGAGTGAACCATGATCTGACAGATTGCAATTCCAAAGCAGGCAGAAGTGGCGCAGTCAGCGCGGAGCTGGCCGCTTCGCCCAGAGCCGTTGGAGCGTCTTTTCTTTCAGCTTCTTCCGTTTGTGGGGTCCTGAAAGAAAGGTTCAGGGCCAGGGCCTTTGTGCTTCCCCGACGCGAGCAACGACAGCCACCACCACGTTTGCCCTTGCGACCTAGACAGCTTCAGGCCAGTCTGCTGGCGGCAGCCCACGCCCTGGCCCGGCCAGGCCAGCTGGCCCCTGGCCCAGCTGGCGCCGGCGCCGAGCGCTGAGCGGCCGGCTCCCGCAATTCTGGCCAATTTCGGCAAATTTTCGGACGGAAGAGAAAAGCGTAAAACTAGCACAAGAAAAAATACAAAAAAACAAAAAACACGAAACTCCAATTACCACCCCCCCCCAAGACCCCACTACTTTTCACCACGGAAAACCACAAGCGGGAGCACAAAAAAAAGGCACCGCAAAACCCACAAGAAAAAGCACAAAGGACCACCCAAAACCCCTAGTTACCCCTTGCCGGGACCCCGCTACTTCTTTTCACCACGGGAAACCACAAGCGGGAGCACCAAAAAAAGCACCGCGAAACCCACAAGAAAAAGCACAAAGGACCCCGCACAACTCAAATTAAAGCACAAAAAAAGCACCGCAAGAATTGGCCGGCGGGCCGACTTTTGAAAATTACTTTCCCTTCAGACTGCGAAATTCAAATTACTTGCCCAAGACCCCCAATTCCCAGGCCTCCCCCGGGACACCTTAAAAATTAAAAGATGCGTTAGTGCTCCCCCCAAAAGAAAAAAAACGTTAGGCTCCCCGCGACACTCTTGGAACGAAAAAAGGAAGGAAGAAAGCACAAACAGAAGGTTGGTGGGAAGGGCATACGGGAGAGGAAGGAGGGGGGAGGGGGTTCTGAAACAGGCAGGGCAGAAGGAGGTTTGGGGGGAGGGAGGGCTGGGTAGGTAGGGCAGCTTGGTTGGCAGGGAGGAGGTTGGGAACGGAGGCTGAAAGAGAAGGCCAGGAGGGGCTGTTTATTAGCCATAGTCCAAATACTCTTTGAATCACTTTATTTCAAGGTCCCCGGAGTTATCCCCCAAGATGCAGAAGGAGTAATTTAGGTTTCAGACCTACATGGGAACCTTTTTTTTCTTCTAAAAGCAACGTTGCTTGTTTTTGTGTGGTGCTTTTTTGGCGCCCCTATCTGTGCTCACTGTTAGTGGTCCGGGGCTACCCCCAATTTTTATTTATCAATTTAATATTCACTTGTAATAAAACTATATATTTGAAAATATATATATATATATATAAATAAACAACACTAGTCATAACACAAACTACTAAATTATTTCTGAATTAACAAAATGGAACGATTATTATTGGAAACAATACATATATACATATATATATATTTATTTAAATAAAAAATGATTCTTTGAATTGGGTATTTGGTTTCTTCTTTTCTTTGTTTTGTGGTATTATAAATATCGATGTATAATAACTGTGTAAGAAGTTTTTTGTGTTGGCCCGAATTTTAATTAGTTGGTTTAAATAAATTGATAATTTTAATTGGATTAGATATTTGAATCGATTGAATCAATATATTTGTTTTTTTCATTTTCTAAAAATCATATTTAGAAGATATATCCTAAATTAAATATTTATTGAGATATAGTAATAATTAAAATTAACGTATAATTAAAATTTAATGTATTTATTTTAATAATTAAATGTTCCCCCTTTTGTAAGAAATAATTTACACATATAATTTAGGAATTGTTATAATTCCCTTAAAAAATTATCAATTATAAGAAATACATATTTGTTTAAAAACAATTAATATATTTTTTTTAAAAGTAGAATAAATAATATAATATGGATTATACATATATATATATATAATACAAAATCATTCTAGCAAAGCAAAAACCACATATAGATAAATTATATATTAAAATTGTATTAAATATATAATAATATATTAAACATAATTTAAATATAAACAAATATATATTTTTCTTGAATTTCATATTAATAATTAACATGCTCCCGGACTCAGCCATTATACATATTAAAAAATACACATAATAATATTGATATAACAAATATACATATATATATATCAATAACAATGAATCATATTAAATTCAAGAAACAAAAAATAAAACAACACCAATAATTATATAAACCTAATTATTTATATATATATATATATATATCCAAAAATCATATGCAAACCAAAAAAACGAACAAGAAATTATGTACAACCACTACACATAATCCAAAAAAACATACAACCTACAATATATATATATATATATATTTAATTCAAAAATCAATTCTAAATTGAAATATATGTTTAAAACAAATCATTTCAATTAACTAAAACAAACTTTCATAATATAAAACCAAATAATAAACAGCTACCAATATTTATGCACCAACATCTCCAATAACACCCTCAACACACAACACCCAACCAACAATCTTATAAACATATAATCATACCATTATTATCCCCTCCAATAATATGTAAAACAACATCCCAATTTACACTACCATCAACTTAAAAAAAAAGAAAAAAACATAAAGCACCATATAATAATTCCCCGAGTCAATAAACAAATCCAAAACAAAATATAATTAGGAAGCCCGGCCTTCAAACACAAAAACAAACCGATACGAAAAACTGACCGAAGTGTAAAACGAATCGAGCGGAGAAAAAAAGAACAACATTATCAATCACCAAAAGGCACACCGAAAAGAATCAAAAAAAAAGAAAAAGAAAGAAAACCACAACCGAACCAATATTTCATTAATTTTACAACCAAACTAACCCCTAAATCCCCTCAATCCAATTTTACTACCACAAAAACAACTTCAAACCAACCTCCTTAAGACTACCTTTTATATTCTCGCAAAAATACACCTATAAAACCCCTCAAATTGCATACCTAACCACCCAACTAACATCCAATCTTCAATCTCACCAGTGCCTCACACAACGCCCCAAACAACCAACAAATACCAAATAAATAAATTCAGTTATCTCTCGAATTAAACTTAATTATTTTTAATTATAATTTAAATAATGCAAATTTAGATATGTGCATTAATATATCCATACGGTCCTGTGATGTGCGTGATATGGTGAGAGGAATATCTATTGATTTAGTGGCTAATTGTCTAAGGAATATTGTCTATTTTGCAAATTCCCATGCCTCTCATGCAAAACAACACAATAGTGGTTTTAACTGCCCGTTGCAAAATCCTTAGTACAATTTTGGCAATTTGATGAGCAGTTGAGAATGGCGACTTGCTGCGCTTTTTCTGGCCCACGCGCGAATAAAGTGTGCAATTGCAAGGTTCACATTTTGTGAACATGCGCGCCAAATTAATGCATCGACATTCGCCGATCACGGTAGTAATCAAATTCTATGAGGGGCGGCCCCTTAGAGCAGCAAAAAAGCAGACATCACGTCAGTTTCACTATTCATCACCCAGAAGCTGTCCCCAGACTTCGTCTGGCACTTCAACCAAATTAAGCTCGCTCAAAACAGCGAGAATTTCGATGGGCGAAAACTTGACCTGCTCCTCGAGATACTCAATTGCCTCAGCTGGGGAACATGGCCACGCCCGTTTGCTACGCAGGTGGTTGGGAGGCTGGAGCAGAAGCTTGTGAGAAAAGCAGAACACAAGCAGGTAAAATGCAAGAAGCAGAGCGAAAACACAAGTAGCAGTCAGCGCAGAGACATGCTGTTCAGGCAGGGGCCGAAAGTGAAGGATTTAGGAATGGCACTGAGGAGAGCAAAAAAGTGGAGGCGGGGAGAAGAGCCGTTTTGAGTGACATTAGCATGAGCAGGGAGAAGCGGAGGAAGGCAGCAGGGAGGGAAAAGAGTGGAAAGAGGGGGGCTTGAGCAAGGAGAGGAGCGAAGTGAGGGAGAATCGGCAAAGGGGGGGTGATGACCAGAATGCCACCGACATGATGAGCTGAAATTCCAGAAAAGAGCGGGAAAACCAAGCAGCCCAAAAAGGACAAGTCGCGCCCTTGCAAAAACCAACGTAATTGACTTCTGACCCTCTTGGCTTGCAACCCAAGCCACTCGCCAACGTCTGTGACTTTCGAAAGACGACTTGCTGGTGCTCAGTAGGGGGTCTAGGGATTCCCTTAAAGGAGGGATGGTTGTTTTCGGGGTCATTCCATTTCTCATTCCCCACTGAGACCCCGCAAGGACAGTCATTGAATGCATCCGTGGCGCTGCCTCCTCTATGCTGTCCAATGTCGCGAGCTCGCTCGCCGTGTAGACGTCTCTGACATGCTCCACCGCTTTCGCCTCCATATGATCCTGGGCATCTGGAATTGATCAAGCCCGGTGTTCCAATGTGCTCTGTGCTGCCAGGCGTCCACATACTTTTCGCCAGCCTTGGGACACGTGTGCTGACTGGCTTTGAAAGGGGCCGAGTGCCGCGCTTGATCATTTCAAGGACAGCTACCAAGGAAGCACAAAGGCAAAACTATAAAAGTGTCCTATTTCAGGGTGCCTTGCTGTTTTGTCTTTTTGTCGCGCAGCCAAAGGAAGTCAACAAGTTGGGTGTGTCTTGTCTCAGCTTAGACCCCCCAAAAGGGGGAAAACAAATAAAAAAAACAAAAAACGCAGGAACACTGAAAATCCTCTTCTTGCTGGTGCTCAGCCGGATCCACCCAACGTGTTTTGAGCTCACCCAAACCTGGGCTCATTCGATCACATGCTTTTACCTATGGCTCTAAGACTTTCGAGGGCTCTGGCCTCAAAACTTCGGAGCAGAGGCGGCCTTTTGATTAAAAATCGATGGGTCTCCCTGGGAAATGGGGCAACCCCATCTAAACCAGGAATCGCCCTCTAGCAGGGATCCGGATGCGTGAGAAACACCTGAACCTTGCAACTTGCAAATGCCGGTGTCCATTCCTTTATTTTGGTGAAAAAGAACCATGCTGCAAATGGAAAGGCAAAGTGGAGATATATTTTTTTGAGCCCCGTGGATTTTTTTGAGGCAAACCCAAAAAGAGGACACCTATGCCTCCGAGGGCAGGCCGGCGGGCGCCGGCCTCCGCGTCCAGCAGGTTCTGGTGCTCTGCCGCTTCCATGGCGGTCTTCGCCCCGAACCAGCTGAGCTGGTCCCCCATCAGGGCCTGGCGGATTTGGCTTCTCTGGCGGTCTTTCCAGGCATTTGAGAAGGCGCTTTTTTTTTGAGGGGGCGGGCTCTCCAGGGACTTGGATGTTTTTTGTGTGTTTTTTTTTCTGTGGCGGTCTCTCCAGGGAGTTGTATGTGTTTTCCTTTTTTTTTTGTTTTTTTTTTTTTTTTCGGTCTCTCCAGGGTTTGGAGAGGAGCTTCGGCGGACTTTTGGTGCCAAGGGCAAGGATTCGTCGGACAGGGCTACTTTTTAAGCTCCCCGCAGTTCCTTGGCTCGCCAATTCACATAAGGAAGCCATGGACCGACATGGCCATGGCCTGGGGAACGTACAGCCACTGGCTCAAGTTGAAAGCGCCAGCTTACGGCTGCAACGAGGACTAAGCAAAGCAACCTTCGAGGAAAGCGTGCCAAACGAAGAACTCAGAACAGGCCTTTCGTTGTCCTTTTTTCTGACTTGGATTGCGGGAACGGAGTTCAGACTAAACTACCAAGACTTCTAGCACACTCAGTGCCACCATTTCCCTGTCTGGCTGAATGATGTGAAGAGTCCTTCATCTCAAGAACATGGGGACAAATTACACATGCAGGTCTTGAATCACTCTTCGGCAATTGGGCCATATGGCTTCTGACAATTAAAGAACCAGGAGACCGCAGGCTTTCTTTGCTTCCATCCAAGGCGCAGTTTTTTGGGTTCCGTTTGTTTGAGCCACAGCCAGCTGGGCATGAATCTTCCCTTTGGTGGGCGGGCAGCCTCATCGCCCAAAACGAGAGTTGGAGTCGCTTGAGGAAGAGAAACGGCACTACGGGCCGTAAGGCCTCGCATTGGCACCTGACGCGTAGCCATGAAGCAAGCCAGGCGCTCTGGCCTTAACACGTACGAGACACACACATTGGGAAAGTGCAGGACGTAATATTGTTTGTGCACGTTTTCCACTTTCTCCAAGCATGGATAACCACTCTTCAAGGGGGCTCCCTTTTTCTTTAAGAAAGAAGAAAAAAAAACAGCCACCAAATTCTACAAACCCCCCTACCCCATCCTTCGCCAGCAGTTCCTTTCGTGCCTGCGCCTTGAGCAAGGCCAGGAGCTGAAGCGCAGAAGGCAGCAGCTTCCAAATCTCTTCGAAACGGCGTACGTCCTGGCCGGACCTCTTTCTGTGAGCGTAGTACCCCTTTTGGGAGCGGTTTTCAAGGGAAACTCCCCGGTTTTGGGGCGCCCCCTATATCCATTTCATCCCATTTAAAGCCTTTCATGCCAGATCCTCGCGTATGCCTTGCATGTTGAACCTCCCACGTCGCGGTTGAAAGAATGCATTCAACAAATCCTGGTGAACAGGCTGCGAAGCTGGATGTGATGTTTCGCACGAGTTGCAAACCCCTGGCCAAACAAAGGTTGCTGCTGTCATGCCTGCAACTTTAAGAAGAAAACCATGTCCTCATAGACAATCCATTCATTGGACTCTCCTCAGTGGCGCGTCACGACATGCAGTGGCTGCTGCCGGGAAAAGAAGCCAAGCTCGGGACGATCCAAAGAATAGATCAGCACATCATCGATCATCCTTTTGCTTTCGGGGTCCAGGTGCTGACGGGAGATCTTCCTCAGACGTGAGATGTTTTGACGAGCAAATCCAAGGACAGAATCTGTTCATGAGCTTGTCTCAAACACGCAGGCCACTTGTTGGGACAAATTAATCACAAATTGGGTGGGTGCAATTAGAAGGAACAAGGAGGCGGTGGGGAAAAAGGATTGAGAAGGCCAGCTCTCCAAACGAAAGCATAGAGGCAACCCTCCGCGGATCCAACAGTTCGCCACGCATGCATCCAGCTAATATGCAAACAGCAGCAAGCCGTGCACATAGAAAGCCCGGCCCTGCACTGGCAGACCGGGGAATCCACCTCATTTTGCCTGGTTCGCCCCTCCCCCACCCACCCCCCCCTGCCCCAAGCACAAACCTCAAGCAAAGCTCTGCGAGGCCAGCCTTCGGCCCATTGTTACCCAAACAACCTCTAAGCCCGAAAAAAAGTGCGACCTTGGTTCATGGCTCGGTTCAAGAAACTCAGAGCAACCTTTTTTGCGTCCTGGTACCAGCCTGCCCCCCGCACATCCACATGTTTGATCAAAGCAAATCAAGCAGCTCACTTGTGCTTTGCGCCTGCGCAACCCCCCTGCCAAGCTTCGCCAACCATGGCCTGTGGGCGCCGGTCGGCAAGTCCAGGTCTGGAATGCAAGCCACAACTTGTCCGATCGCCAAGCGGATCTCACCTGCGTCGATCGGCCACTTCGCGCGTGCTGCGGCTCGGAAATCGGACATCGGAGCCTAAGAACTGCAGAAGGGTGTGCAAGTGCGTCATGGCCTCCCTCTAACAGAAATGGAGAGCCCGAGTTTCGACGAACGAGGAGACAAGCGTGGCAGCGGGCTTCCTGTGGGCGTTGGCCAAAAATTATCATTGCACAAATCCTGGCCTTGTGGCAGCTAATGGCCAACTCAGTGGCCTTCAATGTTGAATCAAGAAAACAGATCTGAACATCGCCCTTGTAACCCTTGACCCAAGGGACGTTTCGGGGCAACGTGTCTGCAGTTTCTTTTCGGCATGATCCTTTGGGTTGCACCTGCTTCTGGCAATTCTGATGGCCCCCAGTGCACCTTTAACCTCCAACCGTGTCAGCTGCGTGCCAGCATTGGACACGTCCACCTGTCCTTTCCAACTTCTCAAGGGCCCGTCGTGCAAAACACCCTGCTTGCAGACGCGTCGCTCCGAAAACTGATCTTCCGCTGCCGCGATGACAGCGGCTGGAAGCTCGGCCTCGGCATGTTGCACAAATCGCAACATGCCAAGAGAAGCAAAGCACCATCCCTTGAACGGCGATCTCGGCGAAGCAGTCTCTTGACATCTTGACAGTTCAGCCCGCCTTCTACCCGGCCGAGAAGAGCTGGAAGTCGGCAACGCGCTGGAGCGCCGTCTCCCCCGGTCCACAGCCTGAAGAAACAACGGGCCAATTCCCTGGTAACTCCAAGAGGGTAGGAAAAGCACTGAGCAACAAATTGCCGCGATGCACAATCCTGGTTCGGCTGACTGTGGATAAGGCCCGGGCAGGCTCTATGGAACCCTCCTCTTGGTAATTCAGCAGCCTGGCCGCATGGGCCATGCAAGGGCTCGGTTATTATAGCGCAGTGGGACATGCAAACACCATAGCCACATCATCCCGACCAGCTGGACGCCTGATACCGCAGCGTTTGGCACAAACTCTGGCAAGTCGATGCATATCGTTCATTGTCGGAGGATTGACCCAGAACTGCAGGTCAAAAGGTACCTCCATGCGGCGCAAAGACTCACTGCTTGCTGCCTTAACGAAGAATCTGAGAGATGTGTCATCTGGCTGTAGGTCAAAAATAGGTGCCCAAAATGGCTTGCCCCGGTGAGTGGAAATATGGACTGAAACCGCGGTCCAATCCCTGGTGGTTTAATTTTGACCCATACCCATCTCATTTTTTTGCCCCAACAGCCCCATGCCCATCAAGCTGTTTGTCCTAGCCCAGCCTCCGACTGTCCTTGCATATTCCTCAGCGGCCATGCAGAAAGGCAATCACAGGACTGGCGACTCGCCTTCACAGAATCCTGGTTTGCCTGTCCCTTAGACAACCGCGGGGGGTTCTGCCATGCAATGACAACTGACCATTTTACCGCAGCCAATGGTTCTACATTATCTTTCGTGGCCTCCAAGTTGTCAGATTCTAAATCCCTGCATCCAGCCTCCACACCCTTGCACAACAAACGCCCAAAAGAGAATGCGATTGGATTTGCTTCCATGTCTCTCCAGCTTTGATGTGTATATCCTGCGAGTAGTTTCTGCCACCCTCTTCACAGACTGCGATAATGCCTCGTGCACCTTTGAGCTTGGGGCTCCTTCCTGGCAGAGTTGAAACATCCAAAGCCTTGAGATCATAGGTGGCCTCATGGAACAAAACCCATCTAAACCTGTGGAACCCATCGATTTTTAACCAGGCCCACCGATCAAAAGGACACCAAAAACCATGAGATGCGTTTCGGTTTCGACCCGGCTGATTCAGCTCTTCGGGTTGGCAGGCCCGGAAAAATCGGCCTGTTCGGGGTGAGGGGCAGCTGTCGCGGAGGGCTCAAAAACAAAACGCCCAGCGGGGTTCCGGGGGCGGCTGTTGGGGATAACACCTCTCATTATTGTTCCAAATGCAACCCACATTCCTGGTGGAGCTTGTCGATGTCAAAAATGATCTGCAAGGACTCGCAAAGCTCTTCCATCAGCTTCGGCAGCTGATTGTTTGGAATGCCAGACTTCTGCAAATGCTTCACTTGCCAGTCGACAAACTCCTTGAAGTCCACCACATCTTTGGCCGGCAACTGCTTCCAATCCAGAACCAAGCAGTCAGAGGTGGCCAAAGGATGTATGCTCAGAGAGTTCCCCAGGATCTGAGAGCACTCTTCCAACTCGGACCTTCGAATGAAACCATCATTGTTCCGATCAAACACGTTGAACATGGGCCTCAGCAAGCTGTGAATGTCGAATCTTTCGATCCAGCCATCCTTTCCAATAGTCCTGTCTGCCCTCCTGTCAGTCAACCAAGATACGAACTCTCGGAAGTCAATAATTCCATCACGGTTCGTGTCAATCGCTGAGAGGAGACGGTCGATGTCTCCTTGGGACATTGATGATGAAACCTTGTACATGATGGACGCAAGCTCGTCCCTGTCAATGGTTCCACTGCTATCCTGGTTGGATTTGCACCATGGAATTCCAACACCTAAGATTGAGGGATTTATATTACACATTCAACGGATTACTATTGTATTTTCTTCATCTCTTACCTATCCTTTTTCCTATCTTTCTGACACCAATAAAGACTGATAAAGTATTTGCAAAATCATTTCATCTAAGATACTGAGATAATTCTGGATGTGGGATGTTGGTAAACCTGAGGACTGTGAAACCTCGAAATCTAGAATTATATAATTATTTCCTTTACTAATAGATGCCATATGAATAGTTCTAGATTGACAGGTGACAAGAAGGTAGGAAGAAAGTGCTGTGAAGACAGGACAGTTGTAAAAATGAAATGCTTGTACAAGTGAACGGAGTTCCTGATAAGATAGTCATCCTTCATTAGCTTCTAGATCCTAAGGAATGAGTGTTAGGATTGATGAAGGATCCAATATTCAAAAGCGCTTGGATCCCACAGCTGCCTTGCTGCCTGTGACAAATATGGGGGACAAATGCTCAAAAGGGCTGCATCAGAATGGCCAGGAGCAAGCAGCTGCCTAGCACGGAGGTCAACAAAGTATCTCCATCATTTTTTTATTGGGTTTCTGCACCATTGACGGCCAGCGGCAGAACACATCTGACGCCAAAATACCTCCTGCGGAGGTATAAAATAAAAAGGAAAATCTGCAGTGCACAATGTACACATGCACCTTTAGGCCTCCAAAGCATCTAGCTACTGACTCACGCATTTTTAAATATATAACTATACAAATACTGTTATATATATATACATATAATGATACTAATAAGAATAAATCATTGCCACCCTTCAGCAAGGCTTCTGCATCCCATTGAGTAAAATGGTTCAGAATCAGAGCATGGGCATCCTCTGCCACTTCGTGCGCGGAAGCCATGGGCATGCATTTCTTGGGCCAATGCTGCGCGAAACCTAGCGACTCCGGCGATACCTGACGCAGCTTACTGCGGCCAGCCGTTCGAGTGCATCCAGCGCCTGCTTACCCTATCTAAATGAAGCGCCTGGGTTTTTCAGAAGAAAGCGAGAAACTGCGGCTTGAATCAAATGCCCAACATAGTTTCTGATTCCGATTCGGTCGCCATGACCAGATCAGCAACTATAATTCGCCATGGACGCAAAAGTTGCTTGGCCCAATGGTTCAAGAACTGTCCAAAAAACAAATTTTCCTCTCATGCTTGCTCGGATGCTCTTTTACAGTTTTCTTCGCTCCTCCTCAACGAGCGAACACTGTGGAAGACCAGCAACAAAGCACTGCGTCATCTTAATTGGATGTCCCAACTGCTTTGGGGCGTGAGTGACTCAACCAACAGCATGCCCATCACACACACGGAGATACGGAAACGCGGCCCGCCCGCACGAAACCCACACACACACACATGGGTTGTAAAGAAGACACTGTTCTTGTGCCAGTTTTGACAACTGCTACCGGTGCCTATCGTTTTGCAATGTTTCTGAACATTGCAGCTTTTCAGGCCTGGCGTAGATAGCACATTTCCAGCCCCAGTGTAGCACGCAAGCGTAGAGCTTGAAAATCGCAACCTTTCGGTGGTAGTGCGCGAAGTGCCCTTTGACACCTTCTGCTGGGAAATTGCAGCTGAGGGAACAAAGTACACTGAAATCGCATCTGTTCAGTACAGGTGATTGCCTGAGTGAAGTATCATCCAAACAGCCCACAACATGAATGCTGTCTCTTTTTCCCTTTATCCTTTCGTTGCCTTCTCGCGTAAGAACCACCATGCGGACCCTGAGCTTCAAACGAACCGGAGCCGGGAGACCATACAAACCCACGTGTGCACACTCAACACACACACACAAACACCCACCCACACATGCCACGCAGGTTTGATCGCGCGGGGGCTACCGAAGGTCCTCGTGTTTGTCCGGGCGAGACCCACCTCTTGTGCAAGCAATCTGAGTCGTTGCCAAAAAAACGAGCAAGGGCGTACCACAGCCTCTTGAGGGTGCCGAAGACGGCTGCGACAAGTGTATTTTTCACCCATCTTCAGTTGGTCAAGGCTGCGTTTTAAATAGTTGAAGGGACATCAAGTGTCACCAGAAATTCTCCTGTCATGTCTTTGTACAGGCCAAGGAAAAGAGGAACAATCACAGTGACGGCCGTGCCCACAATGATCACTCCACCAATGATCGACGCAATGAAGCTGATGGGATTAAACTCGCGCTCCTTGGCTGCCGCCGGCGCCGAACTTTTCTTCGCCTCGTATGGCTTGAGGTTCTTCAGGGAGACCAGGCTGGTAATGCTCTGCTCCGACTGGCGTCTCACGATCCAGCTCTCCTTTTCCTCGTCCCACCTGATCGGTCAGCTCTCGGTACTGATCCTTGTGAATCCCACGAGGGCAGGGCCATGCAACAAAGGGCATAGCTGTCCTTTTGGTCAAATAGACGGGTCTCCCTGGTAAATGCGGCATCAAGGGTGCAACCCGATCTTTTTCCAGCCAAACGGGCACACATCTGCAGAAGCAGGGGGCCATGCAACAACAAGCATAGGTCCTTTGGTAAAATAGATGGGTTTCTTGGGAAAAGGGCATAAAGCCAATCTAAACCAGTGCCATCTGATTCCCAAACTAAACCATCAGAAGGTGCCACCTGCAACAAATGGCTGTGGGTCAAAAATAGGTACCCAAAATGGCACCCTGGTACATGGACATATGGACGAAAACCTGTGGGTTGGTGGTTCAATTTTGACCTTCACCCAAATCGAACACCGACGCTGGAAGGAGCAAAACCAAAACGTCTACGCTGCGCACCGTACCTGAGAGAAAAAGAAGGAAGAAAAAAAGAAGAAAACAAACAACTTGGAAAAAATAAAAGAGGAAAAAAAGAAAAGAGGAAAAAGAACAAAGGGTCCACGGACCGCATCGGACCTGAGCAGCTCCACGGGCTCACCATTCAGGGAGGTGCGCTCTGTGAAGCCGGTGAGCATGGCACGGTCTCCCTCCTGGAAGACGTCCTCCGGTCAACCAAACCATGTGGGTCAAAACCCAGGAAACCCCTGGTGAACATCAAAGGTGGCAAATGGATGTTCATTCCACCCCAAAATTGAGCCATAGGTTATGCCAAAAGGCCACATGTGCGTGGACAGGGTACCTGGTGAAACAAATGGTGGGACGGAGTTGTTTTTTTCACGCCCCCTGGTGAAACAAGCGAAGCTAAATCAAGACTGTGGCAAGCCTAGTTTCCAGCCACCCCCCCTTTTCCTTCCCGAATCAAGATGCAGCGGGCTGGAGACAAGCCCTCCCCTCAACTCAACGCTGCCTCGGCCGCCAAAACTGTTCTTGGTCTCAGCCTCGAGGATGCACCGGGGCCCACCTCGGCCGGGCAAAAGGCTCACCCTGGGACCAAGCATGAGACACCAAGCATGTCGGTGTTTCGGCGGGTGATGTGACATTCCTGCCTTTGGCTTGCCCCTGTAAGGGGAATATCTGGGCTGTTTAGTGCCTGACTGTGGCTCTTATCTGGTGAAGGAAGGTCTTGTGAATCAAAAAGCGGCGAGAGACCAAAAAGCTGCTGACTGGCCTGATTTACGGCAACCATTTACATGTGTGTACATCTGCTCATGCATATTACAAACAACTAAGCCAACAAAACAAATAGATAACACACACACACTCTCTCACACAAAAGTTAACCGCACCCCATATACAAACGTACCGTCAAACATCAACAAACACAAACAAACACTGAGATACTCAGATGCACATACATATCCACAGAGATGCAGCTCCAGGCTTCCCATGAGAAACCCAAACCGGATTTTGTGGCCCGAGCTTGCGCCAGGGTGCAAAGGCAGACCGCCAAAGGCACACCAAAGCGCTTGCCTTGGACTCAGGCGGGGCGACAACTCGACCTCTGCCCCGAAACGTGATCGACGTGAAAGCCAAGCAGCAAGCACGCTGAGTCGTATCCGCCCTCTCATCATTGGTCCGTCTTGGGGACACGAATGTTTGGCCCAAGAGCCTAAACGGCAGCCAAGCTTGACGTAAGGCACCGACATCTCGAATGTTTGGAAGGACAGCCAAAGGTTGGCCGGCATGCGAGCCGTGCGATCGGTCAAGTGCAGGCCAAGTTGTCCTTTTGCAAGCCTACAGCGCAATCTGCACAAAAAGAGTGGCATGTGTTTGCTTGCCAACAAGTGGCTGTCTGTACGTCACCTTTGCTGCCACCAATTCGGTGGCAAGTGCGCTCGGATTCAGCGCTCAAAAAAGTGGGGCAAAGGCAACTGGCATCTTTGGCCTGTGAAACGCCGTGAGTAGGAGGGTTCAGCCCAAGCATTCCCACCAGCTGTAACTCACGCCCCGCCCATCACACAGACCTTGTGCTGTTGAGTGGGCCATTGGCTAAATGCTGGCAGCCGCGTCCGCTGCTTGACTCATTCCACTCGGCAGGAGCGAGCAGTTGATTTCACGAACCTTCTTGCGCAGCTCCTTTGGCGATTATTCCTCCCTGGTTTGGTCTGGATGAGTCTGGCTTAACGTGCCTGCCCCGATTGATGCCAGCAGTGGCCGCAGCTACCACTACGCAAACATGACAAGTGTTTGCCCTTATGAAAAAAACAAATGCTACAAGGTAACCTTGACGCACTCGTCACTCTCATCCTTTGGCGTCAGCAGAACTGGTGACCTATCCAAGGGGGCACATGCCCTGGTCAAGTGGAACTCCACGTCAGCCAATAGCGTTGCGGCCTGAGAGTTGCAAGACTTCCGCAAAAGCTCAGATGCAAAGGAACATGGCAGAAGTTGGCCATGGAGTCCTTCGATGGTTGAGTGGTTGTTCCAACCTCACCAAAATCCCGGAGCCGAACACAGTTTGCCATGGTCGAACGATCCCAGAAGGCCCTGTTATAAGCTGGCCTTCTCATCTGCCAGCAACGGATCCACGTAGCAAAGGCTCAGGCACATGTCATCATCGATGGTCATGACGTTGAGCCACACAAACGGACCCCACGCAGCTTGGTGGGATGCGAAGAAGGACTGCGTCACCTGGCAGCGGGTCAAACATATGTACCCAAAATGGGAACCCTGGCAAATGGAAACATGGATTGGGCCTGTGGTCCCATGGTCTAATTTTGACCCACCTTGAAACGTTCAGACTCCAGGCCGGACAACACTCCGGCGTTGCTGAGCAACAAGGCGTTGGTTCGTCCTTGGTCCGGCCCATCCAAATCCATGGCCCCTTGCAGCCACGCGACGTCCTGGGCTGCAGGGGCTGCCGGGAGACAGCCAACGGAGTTTCTCTCGGCAGGCGGCCATCGGCGGTTTTTTTCTGTTGGGACCTTCTGAAAAGTTGGTGTCCCTGAAAACCCATCAAAAAAGAGAGAAGGGGTGTGCCCTTTTTCTTAAAGACCAACCCAACTGCACACTTGCACGGTTTGGCAAGCATGTCCCTAAAATTCAGGCGCTGTCCTTCTTCCCCATGGCTGCAGTGAGAAACCTCATGTACCAGGAGATGTTGTGCATCTCAAGCTTCTTTCCAGCATCCTCCACGGGGAGCTGTGGCAAATCACGGGTGTTGCTTGCCAGTGCGAGTACACTTCCTCCCACTAACATGGCACCGGGGAGGTACTTGGAAGATCAATCTCCTCTTGGGTCCCCCTGTCAGGTGCCATGGCAACGTGGGAGGGAGGGTATTCAAAACTTGATTGCCCCAAACTCTCCTCCACGGCCAGCTTGGCACAGCTAGCCAGGTCCCAGAACTCCGTATCCTCCGCCACATCCAAGTAGCCCCAGCCGCTGCGGAACCGTGCCCCAAGCGAGTAGGAGCCAAACAAGTCTTGGCCGTCGGGGATGTGGTTCCGCGCATCCGTGGCAAGGATGGGACGCATACCCACCTGCGACAAATCAGGCGGGCAGCCCCAAAAAGCCAAAGCAGTTGCCAGTAGGTACCTTCAAATCCATGTCACACATGTATGTAAAGTCAAAACATATGACTCTTGCATTGCATTACATCACATTAAATGACATTCCCATTACATTAACATTACATTACATTAACATCACATTACATTGCATTAACATTGCATTACATAACATTACATTACAAAACATTGCGTCGCATCGCATCGCATTGCCCTTGAATTGAATTGCATTGCATTGCATTGCATTGCATTGCATTTCATTGCACAACACATTACACAATACACATTACATACATTACGCACATTACATTACACACATTACATTACATATTTTACAAAGGCACCTATATGCACCTTTTTTTATCTAATCCCGGCCTTGCCCTTGCTCTTCATCTGCTTGCGCAGGGCCAGGGCCATGCCGGCCAGCAGCGCGGTGTTCACCGTGAGACCCCGGGCCCGGCAGAGCTGCCGCAGCTGCCGGGCGATGGGCAGGCGCCGGACCTTCGTCTTGGTCTTGCGGAGCTGCCACGGCGCCAGGCCGTCCGGCTTGGGCCACTCCTGGATTTTGTTTGGGGCCACAAGAGGCGGTGATGTTGGCCACTCCTGGTTTTTTTTGGGGCCACAAGCCCGGTGATTTTGGGCCACTGGATTTGTTTGAGGTTTGTTGGGCCAAAGCCGGCGATTTTTTTCGGTGAGCCTGGATTTTCTTGATTGTTGGGCCCCGGTGATTTCTTTCGGTGAGTTGGAGGAGAAGTCAAAGGCATTTCACGGCACTAGCCCTGAAATGAGCTGCATTCCAAGGGGTGAGTCAGCGATTTCACGGATCCCAAAACTGACACACTGACCCTGCAGCTCTTCGTTTGGAAAGCAAAGCTCTTCACCACTGGTTTCTTTTTTTCTGGCTGCTCCTTGCCCTGGCGGCGCTCCACGTTGCATTTGGAACCCATGGGCACCACATCCGCCAGGCGCCCAATGGCCTTGCCAGGCAGGCGCCCGCCCTTGCCTTGGGCGCTCGAGGTTTGACAACCGAAAAACCTGAGCCTCACCTCGAAGCTCCCGTTGGCCACTGGTGGAACCAAGTACCCTTCCTCCCACTAGCACCCGTGGGAAGGTACCTAGATGCTATGTTAGGAGGGAGGGAGGGGGTACTCCAAAAGGCTTCCTTTGAAACTTCCGTGGAATCGCCCCCGGAAGCTCCACCAGTTGGCTTCTGCAAATGGAACCAAGTGCTCCAAAAGGCGTTCTTTGCAAAAACTTCCGTGGAATCGCCAGGGGGTAAAGCATTCTGGCAAACAAAAAGGCAGAAGCCGTAATGTGGCAGTGGGTCAAAATAGGTACCCCAAATGGGGAGCCCTGGTAAATGGAACCTCTGGACTACCTGCAGTCCAATCCCTGGTTTCATTTTGACCCATTTCCAAGAGTCCGCCGAGCGAACCGGGTGGACCGGGCGGCGCTGCTCCATGATCTGGGAGAGCTTTCCGGAGGGCACCTCATCCAGCAGCTGGGTGAGCTTTGGATCCAGGGCGCGCCTGGGGGAGGACCGCTCTCGCCCAGACAGGATGGACACCAGCTCCTTCCTCACTCAGGGCAGCTTGGGGGACCGGATGCATCGGGTGCGTGGAAAACACACGGACAAATTGCAACTTGTAAGTGGTGGTGTCCATTGATTTTGGTGTTGAATAAGAACCATGTTTCAAATGGTTGCAAAATGGAGATTTTTTAAGGAGCCCTGTGGCAGCTTGGGGCGTTTCTTTTCAGCTTCGGGACGGAAGGACCTTTCCAATGCGAGCTGAATGAGTGAAAAAAAAAACAGCTGGACGGGGTGACAACAGAAAGGCTGGAAGGTTGCAATCCTGAGCGCCTACCAAAAGGCATAAACCATCTTCCATCCATCCATCCATCCATCCATCCATCCATCCATCCATCCATCCATCCATCCATCCATCCATCCATCCATCCATCCATCCATCCATCCATCCATCCATCCATCCATCCATCCATCCATCCATCCATCCACCTTTCTTCATCCATCTTTCTCCATCCATCCATCCGTCTCCATTGCGTTCGTCCAATTCACGGGACATGTAGGGTCACTCATCTGCTTGAGCCGCCGCCTTTGCACAGCCAAGTCTCATTAGCATGCAAATGCTCTTCTCGTCCACGATGGCATGATGAAAAGTCAGCATGAGCCAGCCCTCCTTCATGATGCGTGCACGCCAGAGTAGCTTACCTTCGCAAGCCTGCCAGGTAGGCGCAATTCCTCTGGAGGCTTCTTCTGCTCCCAACTGTGCCTTGGCAGACTTGCTGATACTTGTTGGCGCTTGGGGCAGGGGCATCCTACAGCGTGCACTGCATATGCCAATTCTAAACATAATCTACCAACTTGCCGAGCAAGATGCTAAAGCATGCGGTGACACATCTCTTTCGAGATCGAACTCGATCTCGGGCTTCAGATCTGGTCGAAGAAACAAGCGCTTGTTCTCAATAATGGCCTGGCACTGCATTACCCGTGGCAAGCACGAAGGGCCCTCTCCCGCCTGCAAAGCAGCAAAGTGCAAGTGCACATCCATCAGGGCTGCTGCAAAGTCATCCGGTGATGCCGGACCCAGCACTTGGAACCAATGTGCAATTGTCACCTCAGCGTGCATCAAACACCTCAAAAAAAGCAGCCCCTGCAATCGTCAGTCACAAGCCAGGTTGGGCCAATAGAACCCAGGGTTCAGTCTGACTCAGCCCATGCCCGCACGATCTTTTGCTTAAGCCCCCTGGAAACAACGAGCAAATATTTCCAGTAGTGACAGATTCCATGTATAACCATAAAGGGAAAACAAAACATGAACATATTCATTTCAGCAAAGAAGAAAACATCCAGAACCGGTAAGACGAGGCACGTAGGGCGTCGCCTTCCAGCTCAACCGCTCGAAGGCGGACAGCTCCCTTCCCACCAGCCGGCCGCTCTTGCTCCGAGAGTTGCCCGGGCCTGCGGGAAAAAAACAAAAACAACTACAGGACTTGCTGGTGCGATAGGTTGGCCATGGGTCAAAAGCTAGCCGCCCTGTGGAAAAAAAACACGGGACGAAAAACTTGCTGGTGCGATAGCTTGGCCATGGGTCACAACCCAAATCGTACCCCAGTGAACATCCCAATCCAACCACCAAAATGGACTAAAATGGGTGGTGCACCGTTCCCAAAATGGTACCATTGGTTTTGACCCAGGTAGGGAATGATGATTCCCTGGTTTTTCTTGGGGTCATTCCCTCATTCTCTGCTGGGCACATCTGGGGCACTAGCACGAAGTTGCAGAGCGCGATGGGACATCCTACTCACGCTGACGCCAATAGTCGCATCTGGCTGCTGTTGATGTCGGTGTTGGCTTCAGTAATTGCCATTTGGCCATGGGTCAAAATCCTGTACCCCCAGTGAACATCCCAATCCCCAGTAAAATGGACTAAACTGGTACCATTGACCCACAGCCATATCATGGCACCATTGATGAACCAACATCGACTTCTAAAAACCGACCCCATGGAGCCAAGCCGCTAGGGGCATGCGACTGGCAAGCCCCCATGGCTTATGGAGCTGAAGGAGACAAGCCTTTGATTTTGCGATTCGTGCGTCCCTTTCCTTTGCTTATGCAACTTGTCCGTGCCGCTAATGAGCGACGAAAAGGTGAAGGTGCTTGGTGCTTGGTACTGGTGGAACGAATAGCGGCAAATAGACCCTCAAGCTTCCTGGGCCGGCGCCGCGGACATTTCAGCGCGCTCCAGGCAAGCACTTCGGATCACAGAAGTCTTCAACCATGCTGTGACTTCCTTTCCATAAGTTTAAAAGTGAGGCCGAGTGTGCCCTGCGGACTCCGAAAAAATGGCCATAAGGTTTCTGCAAGGGAGGGTTCTCGATTCTTTTTCTCCAGGCCGTCATTGAAGCCTGGTTCCAGGCAGCAAGGTTCTCAGTTCATCGATAGCGCATCGTGCCAAGAGTTGGCAAAAAGGAAGGCACTCAGCTTGAAAGTCCGGATTCGCCCGAGAAAGGTCACCCGGAGTCCCCAGATTTGGTGCAAGTTGGGAAAAGGTGCCTATGTGGGGATGGACCGAAGGCACTGCAATCATTGCACAGTGCAAGCTTCACATCCGCACTGTCCGGCTCGCTCAGTCGCAAAACTCTTCCTGAAGGCAGGACTGGGCCAGCCATGCCCCAATGAATGGATGCTGGTGGGCCACAATCCAAACGAACCCCTCTTGCCTGATTTAGAGGTGTTTCACTTCTTTCCAGAAGTCCATCAGCACCATGCCAAGCAAAGATTCAAAGCTTGGCCTGTCTGCAGGCAAGCCACGCTTCATCGAAAGTGATCTTTCCGTCCCCATCCTTGTCCACTGCGGCGTGCGCCTTGTTGGCATGTGCCTTCAGGTACGCTCTCCTCGGCCAAGGTCCAGCTGCGCGCCAATCCACAAAAGGCGAATCCACAAAATACCAACGCCCCATCTTGGAAAAACCGGAATACGCCAAGGCTCATCTCCTCAAGACTCACCTGCCCATCCCCGTCTTTGTCCATCTCCTTGTGCATTTCTGCTGCCTTTGCCTTCGCGGCCTGGCGTGAGATTGATCAACTACTGCCTTTCTTGCTGGTGCATAAGGGTGTCTGCAACCAAGGGGTTGACTTAGAGAACACGTTGAGGAGATTCCATTTGAGCGGAAATCATTTCTCAAAACGGTTTTTGAGGGAATAAGAAGTCCTGTCTCAGTGCCAAATAGGGCAATCCTGTGCGCATGGCCTCTGTCATCTCACCGGCCTTTGCCTGCACGGCAACCTGAGACGTGCGCGGCTGTTTGGCTCTCCGCAACTGGCCGGCAAGTTGGAAGACTCTGGCCCACAAAGTGAACGCGTTGATTAAGCATTGATTGCCGCGAGAAAAACAGCAACGCAGCTATTGGTCAGCATACCCTGCCGTCCTGTGTTCTAATGAAGTCTGACAAGCCAGGAAGCTGCAGCTGCGAACGTCCTCTCTCTCACTTTGTACTGCTCATCAAACCTTCCGGCAGCCATCAGGACTTCCTGCCAAAACTCGCAACTCAACTCCGTGCTTGCCTGTGCCTGCGATTTGGTAAATTTTAGTGTGGTGCGAAAAACCGGCAGTATGATTCTGCCCGTTTCCGTCCCTGTTGCAACATGTCCCAAGCTCGTGACTGCGGGAATGTCCTTGCCAGCCGCACTTACCGTGCCGCTGATATTGTACTTCTCGTCGATCTCGCCGGCCTTGGCCTTGGCCATGATCGCCGCCTTGTCTGCAATCTCCTGAGGGACGCCATCGACTACATGGGGGTGTCTTTTTTTTGAGGGTACCCCATTTTTGTGGGGAAAGCCAAAGAACCACCAGTTGTGTTTTGTCTTTTGGGCGGGGTGTCCCCCAGAAAAAAGGACACACCGAGCTTGTTGCTGCTTCATTTGGTCAACAAGAAGGCCGACCCTTGAAAAAAAAAACTTTAAAAGCCCCTCCTTCCCCTTCAGGATGCCGTCGTGGAGGGTGGCGCCGGCAGCTGCCAGATTCGTCACCCAGCTGGGCACAGGGCCCACCCCCAGCTTCTCCACCAACGCTTTGCTGAAGAGGCAGCAGTTCTTCCGCAACAGGTCGTAGTCAAAACCCGGCCAATCACCCTCCATCTCCTGGCAAGCATCCTTTTGAACACAAATCCATTTCAACACAAATCCATTGCCACAAATCCATTGCAACAACCCGCCTGGATGATAGCTTCAATCTCTGCCGAAGACTTCTGACATTCGCCCATTTCCAATGAGTCCTTGTAGACATGGGCCTTGCAGCCCTTGGGTGAGCAACTGAAGACACCCGATCCATCGGGTGAGTAGCCATAGCTCCATTCCTTGCCATTCACTTCGACTCCTGCATGGAATGCTCCAGTTCCCATCGCCTCCAGGTACTCGTTCACTGCTCCGACACGAGAGTCGGTGGACACATGGTAGATGTGCAAAGTGACCGGGATCGCCATTGCGAGAAGAGTTTGAGGCCGCTTTACTTGGGGACTTTGAGCAACTGGCTGCAAGGAGCGGCAGCCAGCAGGAGTGGCAGCCAGTAGAAATGACCAGAACTGCTCCAATGTGTGCGAAGAATCCGCACTCTCGCACTGCACGGTCACAGTGTGCATCACTTGAAGTGGGTACTCCCCAGGTCATCTCATTCTGAGATTCCTGAAGTGTCCCAAAAAGTAGTGAGCCGTTGCAGTTTTCGCCACTGCGGCTTTACATGACCGCTTGCCTTACCTCTCAGTCCATCTTTGAGATCCTAACCTCAGCAATGCCAGCTTGACACTTGGCTGTGGGTCAAAACCAATTGGATCCCATTTTGGGGTAGGTGCATCACCCATTTTTGAACATATTTTAGTGGTTGGATTGGTTGATGTTCACTGGGGGCTAACCGAGCTCTGGATGTTGACCAGACCATGTTTCTTTCAACTCCAAGGGCTCAGCCCCTCGCGCTTGAATCTGGTCAGCACTCGGTCGGCATCCTTCTGAAGGTCTTGCTCTTTCTGGTCCCGCTTGTTGCAATAGCCATCCTCGGGCCAGGAGCAACCATCGCGTGATTGCGGCTCTCAAGGCTTTGCATCTGAAGCGCGTGAACGGCTAGTCTCACTGGCTTGTGGCAAAACCCTTTCAGCTAGCACAAAGATTCGTTTATCCCCCTTGAAATTGCTTAGCATCTTTCACGCCTATTCAACTCTTGCATAGAAGAGGGCTCTGGATCCAGGCACATTGGTTGACTCCAAAGTCAACAAGAGCACACTGTGCCCCTGTTCCTGCCCACATACTTCTTGTTGCAAAGTCAAGGCGAAAACACCCAAGCTACACCACATGCTCTTTTCCTCTCTTGCTAAAGGGCACCTAGGGATCTACTGTGGACCTGGGACTAGGGATGCACGAACCGCGAACACAAGCCACTACGCGCATTGGAATGAGGGAGCGCAGGCAAACAAGTGAGCAAGTCAATTGTTCTAATGCTACCCTTTCCCGACCCTCCCCCTCTTCCATCTAGGGCACGTTGCTACCGCCACAAACAAAGCTGGCACAGCCCCTGAACTAGATTTCGTGTCCCGTCCACACAGGCTGGACACAAGCACAAATCGGCGCCTACCAGCGCTCACGCCTGCATGTTGCTTGACCATGTCAAAGTTGCATGATGTTACCACTGGGCTCAGTTCAGCAATCCAGATTGGAAATATATACAAACATCCAAAGTGCGACTTGCTAATCACCGGACAGCAATTCGCCATGGGCCCAGGCGAAGCACACTTCAAGCTGAAGCCAAAAAAGCTCTCTTTTCCCAGGCCGTGCGTCCTGGACCCATGGACATTCCGGAATGACTGCAAAAGCCATTACGTATGCAATCGCGGAAGTTATGCAATGTCCATGCGGGATATCAAGGGCAAAAACAAGCCTCAAGGGAAAAGAACACAAGGTGCATTTCTGAGATCCAAAGACACCACAGGACAAACAGCATCCGGGCAA